GTTGGAGGCCATCGCTGTTAGGTGTTGGGGGCCATTGCTATTAGGGGGAGGTCGGATAACAGAACTTGGTGATGGGATTCTTTATTTCGCTTTAAGGACGTCAACCTTGGGTGTCGAGACTTCAAGCTGTGAGATTCATCGCAGCCACTTGGCACTCAAAGACACCAATCATAACCAGGCAACAATTGAACATAAATTAATAAGTAAAATATAAAGATATACATATATGAAATCATAGGTTCTAGATACATCAAGATAAATCCCGTACAATAATCAAGTTGAAAGGCCTGTAGGTTGAAAAGGAAGGTTGTAACCGCTTTTGTTTATTGCTGGTCTCACCTGATTCTTCGAATCGTGGCGCGAGTATCAGCGAATTTGGTGGAAGAATGAAGACTGCTCGCTTTTAGGAGAGGACTTAACGCTGGCAAAGCATGCAGACCAGATAGACCGCCCCTTTGTGCGCCAAAGAACAGACTGCCTAGTCAAGAGTCTAGTTAGTCTAGTTCCCCCAAACTCGCAAAACCAACAGTTCAAGAGCTGTTCATGCAAGCTTTGGTTCAATCCTGCCCAACAGTTTGCGCACGCTGAGGTGATGCAAAGGACTGGCTGGAATCGGAGCATGTGTCTGAAACGGAGGGCCTCATTAAACAGCTGCTGGAAACACGGACCACGAAGGCTGAGAAAGATGCGAAAGCTGAGACAGATGCCTCAGGCGTGCAAAAGGATGTGACGAGGGCGATTCTTAGCTGGAAATAGGAAAGCAGAGACCAGTACAGACTGCAATAGACTGTCACAGTGTTGACGAACAAGTCTAGCCTTTGCATCAGAGAGCGGCAGGCCAAGTCTCGCTGATTTTGTTAGCTGTTTGTTCGGCCGATTCGGTGCTCCGAAGGAAGCCTCAACGCAAATTGTCAACAGCAATGGTCAGACGGCTGCCGGTTGAAGATGTGGCAACCAGATTGGATCAGATGACATCTCTCGGTCTCAAAGAGGATGGCGCAAGGTCGATTACGTTCTCTACTTGGGATTTTGGTGGCCAGTCAGTCTTTCACAACCTGCACCATTTGTTTCTTAGTCGGTACAGCGTGTATTTGGTGGTGTTCAAGATGACTGCACTGCTGAAAGATGCAAAAGGCACGGTGGAGATGGTGCGGTACTGGTTGAATTCATTGGCCTTGCATGCGAAGGGCGCTCCTATCCTTCTTGTTGGGACACACAAGGACCAAGTCATAAAGGACAGAGAGCACCACGAGATCAGTGAGGTACTGTTGGAGATCTTAGGCGATCGCTTGAAAGAGCAGGTGACACCTTTTGCCCGAGAGGAAGGTGAGGGATTGTGGTTTTACCCCATCGACAACTCCATCAGTGGACATTCGGTCGATCCAGTGGTGGTTGAACTGCGTCACGCGATCGAGGCATGTGCCAAAGAAGATCCGGAAGAATACTTGGAAAGACCAATACCCGTTCGCTGGCGTGGCCTTTTGGATCTGCTACTCTCGCGGAAGGAGTCTTTCCTAACCATGCAGGAGATGAAGGTCCTGGCGGAAGAACAGTGTTTGCCAGCCTGGCAGTTGATGCCAATGTTGGAGATGTTTCATGAGCTGGGAGTGCTTTTCCATTTCTCCACGCCTATAGAGCTTCGAGAAATTGTGATTCTACAGCCTCAGTGGCTTGTGAGCGGCATTTGTCAGGTGATTTTTGATTGGAGCCTACATGAACAAGAACACCACAAGCAGATCAAGCTTGAGATGAAATCAACCTATGACGCCTGGCGTGAGAAGGGCATCGTTACCCGGCGATTGCTGGATCGATTGTGGGAATTTGGCTTTCAAGAGCCAGCCCTCAAAGAGTTTTTATTGCGCTTCATGGAAGAAGTGGCGTTGCTTTGTGAGGTCGAGCCTGACACATTCCTAGTTCCATGCCTGTTACCAGATGAGTCTGGACCAATCAAAGCCTCAGCACATTGCACTTTCTTCTTGAACTTCCAACCATCCTTTTTTGCCGGATAGTTTGTTCAGACGTTTGATCTGCTACGCCGTGCAGAAATCCAGTGGGCGCAAGCAAGAGCTGCAATTGTTTGCCTCACGTGCCGTAATGTCCTTTGAAGGGCATGAATGTTGCATCATCGCCCATTTGGAATCTGATCTTATTCAAGTCGATTTGCATTCTGATCATCCCACTGGTGCCTGGCTGGTGCTGCACACCATCACGAACTTGGTGGAGCACTTGCGTCTAGATTTCATGAAGGAGATCCGGTATGAAGTGCAACTCTGCCACAAGGCACTTGAGAAGGCACGGGATATGCGAATACCCAAGCTGGAGGTCGAGAATGCACGGAAGAGTCCCAAGCCGCACCAAGTGCTATCAGAAGCAATGGCCTCCCACCTAATAGCAAGAGGAACATTGCCTCCAACCTAATATCCAACCTAGTAGGGATGGCCTCCAACCTAATTATCCTAATAGGGATGGCATCCAACCTGACTAATAGGGATGGTCTCCAAGAGTCCCAAGCCGCACGAAGTGTTTGTGCACTTTTCAGAACGCTTGTGTTTTGGGAGCAACTTCAGTTTCGCTGTGTTCGACACGCCATGACTGTTCTCGAGTGAACCTTGTTTTCCAAATCCTTTCCAGATCTAAGGAGCAGGCTCACCAAGTTCCGGCCGAAAGGGACCACACGTTTAGTCCAGACATCTCACTTTGATGGATTCTTCAATGTGCCGTAGATGCACTAGCTTCTTGTTACTAGTAAGGATGCTCCGTTCATAGCGATGCCCTTTGTTACGTTCGTAGCGTCCTTGTTACTTGGAGAGCTGCTTTCAGGTTCCTCAAGTGATTTCAATTCGGGTCCGCCTTGGGCCCCCCGCATCGGCCTGAGGCAGAGAGGACGCCTCCCAGCGTGTTGGTGGACTCTCAGTGGCGTCAGCTGAAAAGTACCTGGCCATTCTTAGCCAGGCCTGTCCATGAGTGATGCACATGAGTAGGTTGGAGGCTATTGCTCTTGGGTTGGAGGCCATTGTTGTTAGAAGCAATGCCCTCCAACCCAATAAGGATGGCCTCCAACCTGCTCTGTCAGCCAGCCCATTGGCCCATCAGTCTCGAAAAAACATGAAGCTCACATACGCTCGACGCATCACATACGCTTGACGCGTCGTGACGTCGCCGCATGACACGACAGTCGACAGGCATGACAGTCAATTTGGAGCAACTGAACGGGCTGCGCTCTATTCGTACTTGCGTGATCCTGCGCAGTGGGGCATCTCTTGGAATGCCTTGGCACCTTGGAGAGCCATCAAGAAAGGAACTGGGTAATGTGGGTACTTGCCGGCAATGCAGGGCAATCCTTTTGCCAACAAAAGTTTGATCAGATTCTTCAAATAATTGCAAGAAGGGGTGAAATATGTGTGATGGCTTTGTGATATTTTATTCAGCCCCAAGACCCTGAATCACCGCCTATGACCCATGCCTATGTATGCGAGACAGGGACAGAGCAGAGAAGGTTTCAGGCTCCGTTTCATGGAAAACATGCAAAATTCTCCTGGCTCCGCCCCAGGAAAGCATCGAGAAGGATGCCAAAGAGAAGTTTGGAGCGGATTTTCGAAAGAAAAGCATGCCCCTTTGCTGCGCATTTGATGTTGAATGCCATGAACGCTGTAAACGCCACATGAACTTGCCCATTTTGACCAAAGCAGAGTTGACTTTGCAGATTGATCCCAACTCCAGGTGGCACGTTGTCCAAGACATCGTCAAGCCCAGTTGTGCAAAGCACGGGGCTCCCATTGCTTTAGTCCGAAATGGTTTCTTGGTACGTCGTTTCGCGCGATCGAATGTCACTTGAACTAAACCGTCGGGTTAAACCTGAACTCCAAGTCGCGCCGAGCTAAGTAAAGGCGCAAAACTGTGCGTATTGGGTCCTCTCGTTGTTGAATGTTCAATGTCTCTTTAGCTAGTAACAAGAAGCTCCGTTGGGGCTCCTGGCCATACAACTAGGGGCAAGAAGCTACTAGGAACAAGTGCATCGCTACTAGTAACAAGTGCCTTACTAGTAGTAACAAGAAGCTACTAGGAGCAAAGGTAGAGAAATCTTCCGTTCGCTTCCCTGGTGTTGTCATTTTGGTTTGCACTATTTGGTTCGGCTGCCATGTTGCGTTTGAGGTTGGCAAGTGTAACTCGGCAGCATTGGTCTCAAGATGTCTGAAGGGGCGACAAAAGGGAAGCAGAGTGATCAAAAAGCAAGAAGATGAGCAATGGTACCCTACTAGCAACGGCCTCCACCCTACTAGCGATGGCCTCCTCCACCCTACTAGCGGTGGCCTCCACCCTACTTGCGATGGACTCCACCCTACTAGC